GCCACCCAGCCCCGGGCTGACTTACTTGAGGAGAAGCGGGGGTCCGGGTTGGTGCCGTACCATCCTGTCGCCGAAGCGCTGTTCCGCATGGTGTCCTGGTAAGGCGGGAGCTCGCTCATGTTGCCCAGGTTCCCATTGCAGTAGCCCCCCATCGTAGCATGGGAGAGCTGGGGGACTCCTGCCGCTGTCATATGGTAGGCGGCAGTCACTGTTCCGTTGTGGCCCATGGGGTGCTGCTGCATGGCCGGCTGAGAAACCTGAGACTGTCTGTAGGCTGACAAGGGAGCCCCCAAGTTACTGCCCTCCATGCCCACTTTCTTGTAGCTTTCCTCCAAAGGACTCAAGATGTCAGACACTGAGAAAGGAGTCGTATGCTTTGGGCTCATCGACATGATTCGGCGGCTGGGGGGAAAAAAAAAAAAAAAAAAAGGAAGGGGGGGGGAAAATTTTTTTTTTTTTTTTTTTTTTTTTTTCTCCAAATATTCTGGTGTTGCCTTAACGCCGATCTTGTTGGATGTACACGTAACCGAGTGGACGAAGTCCGCCTTAATTGGATTGAGTGGAGGCTCAGGGCTGCCTTTCGTTTGTTTTAGCCAGACGCCAGGTTTTAGGCTGCCACCAGAGGCGGGGCATAGGCACTAAAGCAACAAGACAATAGAAGCCTACATCTTGCCCAAGATAATTAGCTTACATGCTGATGACAAGGTAAACACCTTTAAGTTTTACTTGTCAGGATTTTTTTTTATGTCTTAAAAAAGAGAGAGAGGGGGAGAGAGAGGGAAATAGAGAGAGAGACCCCGTGAGCACAACTCATTTTCTTTTTCTCGGGGGTGGTAATATTGTGGACGGGAAATGGAAGGCAAGGCGAAAAGACTCCCATTTGACTGGGTGAAAGGATTTAAAATCAGCTCCCGGGTGGCAAGGCTGTCAGCCCAGCCTTTGTGAGAGCTGGGGAGACGGGGCTGAATGCCGGTGAGCTGAAGGACCGAGCCCCCCTCTCCCCCCACTAAGTTTGGTGCGGAAGGCGCCCCGCCGCCGGGAGGGCAGCTCCCTGAGGACAGACTTTTCGCTGTGGGCCACCGCTCCCAGCGCTCCGCACTCCCGGCACCGGCTTGTCAGGTACCCGGCCGGCTGGTGGCTGCACAGCGCTTGGGATTTAGCTTCTCTATGGCTGCTAAGACCCCCAGTGAGAGACCCCCAGTGCGAGGATGGTTTCTCCCCCTAAACCCATAAGTTCCGCTCACCTAGGGCTTTCTTTTTTTAAAAAAAACAAAAACAAAAACAAAAACAAACAAACAAACACAACTCAGGGAGAGGTGGAAGCTCCAAGTTTGCAAAAGCAAGCAGTAATTTAATTGCCTGGGGCGTGAGACTGCTGAAAAATAGGTTAGCGCAAAATGTCGCTCGTTATTCTCAAAGGCAAAGACTGTCACAGGCTCTTGTGGTACCTCTGAACCTGAAGCTGCTTTCTAAGATTATTTATACAGCACGGGAGCTGGATGGAGAAGACCTCTCAGGTCATCTGCTACACCACCTTGCCAATGAATTCCCTGCAGTTTCGAATAAACTGCAATTTCTGGCACTTTCGGATCCGTTCTCGAATCCGGTGTGAAAACAAAAGCAAGCCCATTCAGAGCCACACACACGTACATACAGCCAGCAGATAATGTCACTCGGATCTTTGAAGAAATCTCCTAAGTTCTCTAGTGTCTCCAAAGCTTATATTTCAGGGTGTTCCCGGGCGGAGGAGAGAAACCTCCCCTGAGTGTTTCACAACCCTGCCTATGGCCCTGGCAAACCCAATTTAATATAGCCATTACCTGAATATTAAGAAAATTACAGCGAAGGTACAGTTAACCCAGTGACTTTGAAGTGTCAAGTAACTATTTAGTAATTGCACTTGTAAATATGTTTGTGCTCGGCTGTTTCGTGCTTAAAAATGCAAAAGTGCACTTGCTACCCGGGAATAACTAAATATCTTTGTCTAAAGTGGCAGCATAAATAGCCGGTCGCTTTGTGACTGTGCTTGATATTAGTACATAAGGATCATTTTGCTTCAATTGGGAGGCTCTCATTCACTAGGCAAGAAACCGTTTAGAAGAAAGTAGGTTCCCGTATGAGAGTTAACATCCTTCAAGTGTAAGCCTCAGCCTTGATTACACTTTAGAGCTCTGCAAGAGGTGAGCTTTTCCACACAAATATAATCGGGGGAACTTTCCTTCAATCAGGCCTCCAGCTCTCCTACATCATCTCAGCTGCCTCTTTCGGCACCAGCTCCCTCAAGGCTGAATACCCCGAAGTGGGCTTGTCGTGAGTCTACTGGGTCACCAAAGGCAGGGAAGGGTGACTTTGGGCTAGAAAGGCGCCTGCTTTTACCTCTTTTCTTTACAGATCTTTAGATCTTGTCTTCACAGATCCCTGGGACATACCTTCTTCTCCCCCCTACCCCCCGCCCCCCTTTTTTTCCCCGTTCTGCGTGTGTTTTTCACCACGGTCTTTGGTTTTGTTCCTACAGAGAGACACTCAACCTTGCCTTGGTGGTTTGTTTCTTTTTTTTTTTTTTTTTTTCCCCCGGATTCCTCAGGCACATCAGCTCCGTGCCTGTTTTATCACCTTTAAAAAGGAGGGGGTGGATAGAGGAAAAAAAGTACCAAAGGATCCACCAAAATGACGCTGCAGTCGGCACAGACGAACGACAGCGAGTGACCTCCGCAATTTGTGGGGCAGGAGCAGCGACTCCGTTTCTCTCCAGGGAGTGCGAGGTGGGGCAGCTGGGGAGGCCCCAGTCCGGCTCCGGCGGCGGGGAGCGGGGGCGGCCGAAGCGCCCCGCCGTCCAAAAAAACCCCCCCCGGAAACGCCCCCTGCCACCGCCGGCTGCGGCTGGGCGAGCTTATTTATCCTCCCGCTCGAATGAGCGCAGGTTCGATCGCCTCCGAAACGTTGCTCAGTTCGATTAACCCGAGCAAGTCCAGCCTTAACTCTGAACGGGGTCTCGGCAAGCGAAGTTAAGGCGAGAGCTCCTCACTCCACCTTCTCTGGGGAGCGGGCTGAAACTCTCTTTGCAGGTCTGACCGCTTATTTAGAAACACACCGACGCGCGTACAGGCACAGCTACGCCCCGCAAGGTCCCGACGGAACTTTTTAGCCCCGCTAGATCGACCTAGTGAAAAAGGAGCAGGTCAGTCTCCGCTCCTCCTTTCCTGCCCCAAATGAGCTATAATGGGGCGAGTCGAACCGCTGACAAGTGGCGAGAAAGTGTCTTCGCTGCTGTCCTGTCCCGTCCGCTCACCCTTTTCTTTTAAACCCTCCGCCCAAGGTTCGTCTGCCAGAGCTGGCTCCCCGCAGCCCCCGGGGAGGGTGGCCGCCCCGACAGGATCCTTCCTGGGCTGCCTCTAGTGATGTGTTCGTTTACCTGGTGATGCTGCTTAGTAAAACGCTCGAGTTAAAAAGAAATGCTAAGGAGGAAAGCAGGGAAGATGAGATGCGTTTTGCCTGGTGGAAGCATTTTCATGAGAAAGGCACGGTCTTCACCTCGTGTTTGCAGAATGCGGCTACACGGACGTCCCTTCAATAGCTTCTGACCCCACACAATCCGTTTGATAACACTCGAGAGGTGGAAGAATAGGAGACTTTGTCAATCAAATGGTGCCAATCCCAATGGAAACGGTGCCACCAAGACCGCAGCGCGTTTCCTCATCAACTGGATTGCGGGGGCTGGGAACTCAAGGATCAGCTTTTGAAAGTGCGCACAGGGCTCTCCAAAGACAACAATGTCTTTTTTATACGAGCTGCTGTGCCTCCCCAAGGGGAATCAAATGTGCTCGGCCAGTCAGAGCCGCCGCAGGGCTACAGATTTGCCTTGCCACCCATTTCGCCGGGCAGGAGCCGCGGAGGAGGGGTGGCATTTCTGCCTGGTCCGGCGCCTAACTCGGCTCCTTGACCCAAATTGCTTTTCCTCTCCCGTAGGCACTCGCAGCTCCCGCGGTGGCTCCGCGCTGTTCCTCCGCAAGCGGAGCCCACGCAGGAGCGCGGCCCCGATTCAGCGCAAAGCTTAAGCATGTGTTTAGGTGTGAGCGGCAGGCTGGGCTGTCTGGAACCCTCGGGACACCTGGGCTCGGGGGGGAGAGGGGAAGGGTCCCACGCAATCCGCACGCAAATTCTTTCTCAACAAGAGAGACACTTTCTAGGCGCAACTTTTTGATACAAAGGCATGACGTGCTCCCTGCTCCCCGTGGGCCCGTTCACGGGTGCGC